GAAAGCCGCAGAGATGTGGTCAATACGTTTGATCTATGTGGAGAGATCCGTCTATGCGGAGCATCCATCCATGTCCGAACAGCAGCGATGCCGGTTTCGTCGACAAAAAATCCGGTTTACCCGATCCTCAATGGCACACAGACATAATCAGGACACATCTGCCTTCGTTAAGGTCCGTCTCTGTGGAGCTAACAGCGATTTCGCATCATCGTTAGCAACGGTTTCCACATAATGGATGGAATTTAAATTCTAGTCATACTTTCAGATATCCGGACGCTATTTAATTGAAAAGAAATTCGGTCATAAACCCACTCGTCATAGAAAATACTCTAATGATCATTAAATACACGTAAGCGCCCGTAAATTAGTGACAACCGTTTTGTATCTTTTGTAAAAAGGACCTTTGATTGCATTTTGACGTCGTAACGATCTCACAGAAGCTTTATTTTCTCCTAATTTGATTAAATATTCTGCAAATTTATTTTAAATACAACTGAAAGATGTATCGAGAGAAAGTTAATTAGTGTTTAATTAATTTAAGAAGTCTTACTGCTATATAAAGCTTCTCTAGCGTTTTACAGCGTATCAATATATTACACCACTATTTATCAAGATCTTTTTCAAGGCATACCGTCCATACCAGATCCCTCGTTAATGACCTGTGAGTTCACGTGCAATTGCAGCAAAAATTCGACTTCAATAGCCACGATTTTGCGCAAAAGTTGAGTAATTCCAGAGGTAGGAACGACGGAGACGACGACATACTTGCGGTCGCTAGCTTAACTATCTCCTGAGACCGATGTGAATTCACGACTTTCAGGATGAAGATCCTGGAAGTCTGAAAGGTTGATCTTCTCTTACGGGCATTCTTAACGATCGCGCGCCTTTCTTCGCCAGAAGGTTACAGGGGTTACGACTGTTAGGACTTGGGGGGAGGGAAGGACTCTGAGCAATAATGTTCCTGCAAGCCTTTTTTCCTCCCGCGGATTAGGTATCGCGCGTCCGCAAAAATTTGTCGCGCTGTTTTACGGTCGCCGAGCCGAAGAGTTCTTGCGACGCACATTGTATAATATCACGGAGATATTTTATTGATCGTTAAAATAATCCAGCAAATTGCAAACTGCGTCACGGCGGTTGTTTGAAGCGAAATTAGTTTTTAATTAGGTTGGTCTGCTCGCAGGCTTCATTGTGTTTTCTCCACTTTTTTTTTACCTTGCTTCATCAAAGTATTCGCGAAATTTAATTGTAACGCGTGTGATTATATATTATTTTTTTTTTTTTTATTTTTTTTTCAATTTGTATTTTTATTATCTACAGCACTCACTCACTTTTACGTCCCGATATTTTTCCAATAGTATTGAACTCGTCAACATAAGAGCTGAACAACCAGTTTTTAAACTTACGACGGTTCGTAGATGAAGAAATATCTATCTCTCCGTTTTTATTTGGTCGCGATACAGGTTGCCGACGTTGGCGTAAATTCGAGGGATAACGAGAACTCGTTCGGCAACGATCACGTTCAACCGTCGGGCAATCGACAACGACAATTCACTTAAGCGGGCGCGTGCCGAAGAGAACGAATCCGCCCGGTGGCGGCCCGAGCGACAATGCGCTTGTTGCATTTTGGCATCCGGCCCGTTCCGACCGAACAGCCTTCTCCATTCCGCCTTCCTCTCTCTCTCTCTCTCTTTCCTCTTCCCGGTCACTTATTCCACGGGATATATCCCGGCACCTACTGATCGAAGAAGCGGCGGGCTACGAGAACCACGTAGGAGACGCGCGCTGAATTCCAATGAAACCATCCGACTGCTGGAAAAGGCACGACAGAGTACAAATGCCGGACGACGTGCGCAACCCCTCGCCGCGACTCGGCGCGGATGAAATACCGAATGGGGCGCGATGTGACGTATATGAGTGGAAGCTTCGGGCCTTTCGGTGGATTCCCCACGGGTAACTTGACGTGAGTCTTCCTGAAAGAGAGTCGCGCGACGGCGTCGGGTTTGGAAAATTTTATAAAAGCGCAGACGTGATGTGGGAAGTAAGTTGAAGTTAGATTATACTTGCACTTCGTACGGGCGATTGCTTTATCCGAGCAATGATATCATTTGACCTTTTTTAACGACAAATTCCTTTTGCCTGTCAGTTAATCGCGAATTACGATATCCCGGAGGTTATGCAAATTCAGCCAAGTATTGCAGCAGAAATTTATATTTATCATATTTGACTTGGAAATTATCGGTCGCACCGTCGCACGCGGATGGCGGATCATAGACGCATTTTTACTACTGCAAACTTTATGCCTGCAAACTAGCGTTTGTTTTTACACCAAGATATATTCCCTTCTGAAATTAACAATAAAAATCTATAGAAATTAAGAAATTAATTCTCATAAATTACTTTTGAAAAAAGCATCTAATTTATATTGTTTTCTTGAAAAAGATGCAATCAGACACCTGGTACTTCGAGGTTTCTCTGGAAAGCTTCTCCGTTACTCCATTTGGATCCGTTAAATTCTCGCGAGTCGACGAAATGCACTTACCGAGTAATTCGGGAGACTATAGGGGCAAGATGGTGCGAGTCTACGGTGTACGTTTTACAAGTTGGCAGCCAGCCAACTCCTCCTCGACGGCGCAAATCATATTATCTTAACGAGACCAGATAACGCCCTTTTGTCGGCGCACGATGACGCCGCGAATGTATCGCCCTCGCCCGACCAAAAACCATCGTAGCTAAATGCAAACGAAAATGAGAATGTTCCTTCTCATTCGTGTAATTGACTGCGAGGGCAAATTGCGTTTCTTGCTATTGTCAATTTCAGAAATTGCGTGAATGTAGAAGTTCGTTAAAGGGAAGAAAATTATTATCTTTTAGTATATCAAACATTCGCTTATTTTTTTAAATAAAAAAACTTCTCGGTTTATTTTAACGTATTTTATTTTTTTTATTTTGACGCAGGCAACTGACGTTTATTTGATGTATCTCACGAATTTATTTCGATATATTTATTTCATAAAGCTATAATCACAGAATTCTCTCTCTCTCTATATATAGATATAAATATTATTATTTTGGTAACGTGGAGTGCTATTCAATAAACGCAGGGTGTTTTTGTCGAAAATAAAAATATCACGTTGTCAAAAACGTATTGTTTGCTGATAAACAATTTGATGATTTATTTTTTCTCTTACAAAACCAGAGTTAAAAGGTGTTTCATTGTAAAAAGCAGTATCGAGGCGTACCTATTACAGTAAGTTTATTCGTGAGCTGAATTCTCTGTTGCAGGGAGAGCGAGTTAATACAAATGTATAGGGTGTCTTACAAATTGGCACTCAGCCAAACTCGCTGAACGGGGGGCGAGTTCCGTACTAACGAACACAGCAGATGTTACTGAACTCAGTTTCCCGTAGCGCGTGTCGACGAGGAATCGAATTACTCCCTTCATGCGATCATTGCTCTTCAAACGTAAAATCGCGCTAAATAAAGGAACACAGTTATTAGTTTATTTTCTACTTTACGCAGGAATATTCTTCGCCGAATTCTCTGCCGAAGTGACGGTTAAATTTTTGCACAGGACAGATCAATTTTGAAATTGGTCAACCGCGAACCAAGTTCTTCAGCTGTGGATTGGAAAAGTCCCCGAATGGTTCTCCATTTTGTCGCAATGAACTTTCGCATCACGGTATACGCGGGACCGTTGAGCAAAGAATACGAGGAATGTGGACTTTCGGCTTTGTAACGGCAGTACTTACAAAGCCATAAAAGAGGATTGCGGGACGTTTCGTGCGTTTTGTGCTTCTAGAAAACCTTCCGGCGAGAGTCTCAACATTACCATGTTTACGTCCACTCTTTAACAACTTATAAAGCGGTTTTCATTACTAGGAAGAAATATAATCGGCGGCAGCACTATTTCTTCGCGAAGCAAACGGAAAACAGTGAAAACTTCATAGAACGCGATCTATACTCTCGTGTTACTCGCAACGATGTTAAACGCGTAAATTGTTTCAAACAAAGTAACGAAGCTGTTTTTATTACATCCGCGTAACGCGATCAGATTCTTCGATTTAATCGAGACGTTTATTTCTATTAAATTAATTTTACATTTTAAATTTATCGCAGTAAAAATAAATAATTTGTTTGTTCGCAAGCTGACGACGTGGAAATGAACAGTGGCTTATTTAATTTAGATTAAGCACATCCATTTGTTTTGGAATACACGGAAATAATACATAATGAATTGTTTGCGATGCATCCGGCGTGAGTGTAGACGCTAAAAGTCCGGCATTTAATCAGCCGGGCTTTATTTGGAAATTACGGAGCGTAGTTGGATATGACGTCTTTCCGCTCTCATCTTGCGAGGGATTAAGCCCGGCTACTTGAAAGGATTAAACATGATAAAGCTGTTCATTTCGTTAGGGCGGAACGGGCGGGAGGAATTTCGCGTCCCTCGATATAGATAACACGCGCGATACTACAGAAAGATTGCAGCCGGGGAATCGCTGTTCTATAGGTCGGTGAAAAGGGTTGCATCTGCGGCGCCGGGCTGAGCCCTCGGCGGGGACGATCGCTTTAAAAGCCCACTTCGACGGCTGCTTTAAGAACAATCCCGTGTTTTACGAGTAAGAAGCTTTAGCGCGCTCTTCCGCACCGTCGCGCTTTATGTCGCCCGACACGGGCGGACGCGGATACTGCTGAACGAACGATGTTAGTATTTCTCGTCAAGTCATCCACTTTCCGGATGCACCGAGTGACGTTTGCACTCTTTGCCGGAGAGATCTCTTCCTCGGCGGACCTCATCCATTATTCCCGCGCGTCTTTATCCGGCGCGGTCGAAAGAAGTGTGCGCGCGCGCGCGCGCGTTTTCGCAGATTTGACTTTATAATGCTATTCATATCAGGCATTAAACGATTCAAAGCTGTTTAATTCAAACTCGCGAGATATTGCATTTATCGTGCGTCTCGAGGCGGAACATTATTTCATGTCGCTTTCATTGTCTGTTTCAGCCAGCACCAATCTCGTGGGCAAGTTCACGCAGAGCGTCCGGAGGATCGTCCAGGACGTGAAGGACGAGGGCACTTCCAGTAAGTCCGAACGATATTTTATCGCGCTCCATCTCTCGCATAGGAGTTTAATTAAAGTTTTCAGCCACTATCTTGGCTAATCGCCGTTACTCAATAACTCTGCACGACAAAGAGCGCGGAATGGCAGAGTAGTTGTAGCCTTCTTACTTTAAGGATCTTTTTATACGACGCGCTATGAAATCTCAGTTAGAGGAAGTTTATGATCTCGCATAAGAAAATGTTTGATAATAATTCGCGGTTTGATAAAGATAACGGGCGAGAAAAGTTTGAGGAGAAGGATTGCTCATAAAACCAAGGTTTTGTCAAATATTTGATCATTTGTAAAAATATTTGTTAATATCTTTCAGCGCGAGAAATGCGCGCAGAAATATTTGCATTTAAAATCAAGCTTGACGAAATCGGAAGCGTGAGCTTTATTGAGGGAATCAGATCTTTAACGTTTTTAATTTTTTTTTAAACAAATTTCTTTATTTGATTCTGAAAGAATTAAATATGAAGGGTGAGCATTCGTTCTAAGTATAGCAATTTCAGTGAATGGGGACATTTATACGTATCGCTCGGAAATAAGTGTCTGGCAGTCCGCCAGCGGCGGACGGTTGTTAGTTGTCCCATGAATGGAATCGAAGCGGAAACTCTTGTATTCGGTCGGATCGAGAGTAACGGTGTGTTGGCTGTATTAGCTGAATAGACGGAAACTTCGTCGTCGACTGAGAATTCCGTCAGGTTCAGATTAACGCTTTCCCATCGACAAACGTAGAACTATGATTAATTCTGACATCAATGTTCCCGCGGCGCTGTCTCTGAAACGCGCTCAGATAAATTCCTAAGGTATGATAATGGCACGTGCACAAGATACATTGCCATTTGCGGCCTCAATTTTGCCGACAGGCCGCCAAACTAGCTTGAAATCGATTTTCCCGCGTCGGGGAATAATCAAGGATACTCGTCGCGTAAATTTGCAATTTTTGTTATTATGCAAAATTTAAATCCAAAGTGCAACTCTCGAAGTTTCTTTTGATGCATTCCATATTGCTCTATTTCGGGATCTCGCTTGTTTCTGCGGTCCGAACTTTTCCTACAAATTCAAGCGCGCACCGAATGAAATAGGAACACTGTCGACGGAGTTGCTTATCGCGTCGCCCGTCGGCGTACTCGATTTATTTATGTCGAAACTTTCGACGCTATCGCGGTGTCGAGTTAATTGGAAATTAATTGGAGGCGACTTTCGTGCGCACGGCGCTCTCTCTCTGTCGTTTCCATCGCGCCCAATTTAACGGTGCTGGTAAACGCGACGCGCCTCGGCCGCGCGATGATTGACGCGCGCGATAAGGAAAATCGATTCAACGCTATCACGAGGGGAAAATGCATCGATGCATCAAAGTTGTCCGTAATCGAAAGAAATTGCTCGCACTTCCGAAACTTTTCGAATCGCCGAATTGCAAATACGGGTTGTCTGCGATGGGGCGCAGGTGGACAAACGAAGGAGGAGGTGATCGAGACGAACGAGAGATTGAGAGTCGTGAGGATACGCTTGGACGGCAGCTACGACACCGCTAAGAGGGCCCTCGTCGAGCTCATGTGCAAGTACACCGACAGCAAGCAAGTGCGCAACGTGTTCCAGCGTTACAATCTTCTCAAAGTTATGATCAAGGTAAGACGGTGGCAACCGTAATTAGGTGTAGTACACGTGTTTTTCTCCCGTTGACACTTTGTGCGCTGCGAGCGTCACGCCTGGATTGCCGCGCGCCGTTGATGTAATTACGTCGTAATTATGCCGCTCGGTTTATACAGGTAAATGATGTACACGAAAACTCGATCGACGAGTCGCTTTCTCGCTCGAATCTCTGTTAAGAAATTGTCAAGGGACTAATAACTACTCCGTGATCTTAATGCAAACTTGTGATTAGCTCCAAAAATTAATCATTGGCCTTCTCTCAGCCGGATGGAGCTTGGAAATTATTTCTGAATGACTCTATCGAAAGTATTTTTGTATTTACATGATTAAGTGTGTTTATTTTTATTCCTTTCGAGCGTACTTTTCAAGCGAAATGCTGAATGGATTTTTCGATGAAAGCCTTTCGCGAAAGCGCAGGGCGAGTAATAAAAAAGGAAATTACCGCGTAGCTTTAGAGTTCGTCATTACGTTTAATGCGCTTTGCAATTGGTAATTCAGCGCAAAATTTCCAGCTGCAACAGCACAAACCGATGCAACCGACGGGCAAGCGAGAAATTCAAAATGTAGCGTTTTTATTTTTCCAAATATCCACCTAGCGCAACATTCATGCTGCAACGGGCGCATTCGTTATCCGATAGATGCATTCGCACACGTTTGAACAACAAATAAAGCTGCATACGTGATAGCTGACACGAATGCCGAAACAAGTTTGCAATCGGCGCAAAAGACGAGCACGCGTTATCGCCACCTTCCAGTTTTTTCCCTTTTTGTAAAATTTTTTTTTCCAACGTTGAATACACGGCCATTCGCGAGCGTCAGTCCCGCGGGTGTATTTGCGCGGACGTCGACGTTTGTTTCTGGTGTAAACTTTCGCTGCGATCGAGAGAACGGTGAGCGGGGAGTTTTTCCCTGCCGGCAGGGGAAAAATCAACTTGGGATTAATCCTCAAGCGAACGGAATAAAATTGTTCTATATAAATCGCGCTGTTTGTTTCATCGATAGCCCCGTAATCTCTCCGTATTATCTGAGATGCTTCGTAGAAGGATAGAGAAAGAAGGAAGTGAAGGAAGCAACGTAGTTACGATCGCCGTTTCTTTTGTTAAGAAAAATACGTAAATTTGCAATTATTGGCAATTCGATACTATTGCAGTTGGCTGAGTTTTTAATATTTAAAAATTAATTAAAATTGGTTTTAGTAAAAAAAAAAAAGCTTTAACCATTGTTGGAAAGAAAGGATATATTGTTCTTAAGAGGCACAAAATAATGACAGCTGACTTTCTAATTTACAATTTGTAAACTCTAATCTTGAATATAAGTACAGATTAATGACACTACATTTTGTAAAGAAGAAAATCGATCGTTTTAAACCACGCTTGATGAATGGACCGGCGACTCGTTGCAGAACACGCGGATAAAAGGATCCGCTGCACAATGGCGACCGATCGCCTTGCACAAACGCCAAGCTTTTTTCCCCCCTTTTCTCGTCGCTGCGACGGTAGCTCGAGCTACCGACGGTTTTGCCTTTCCAGGACGTAATTAAGCTGGAGACGCAGTATTGGACGCTGGTGGATATACCGAGGCAGGAAAAACAGGAGACTGTGCCCGCCTTCGTGCTGCGTGCCTGCTCCATCATGGAGAAGACCCACAAGAGCGGCGAAGGCGTGAAAACTTCGGCGCGTCTCGCCGAGGAGGCCGAGACCAAGAGAGAGCGCATCGAGAGACTCGAGGGTGAGTGTTGTATTCGAAGTGCGATTGTCGCGGTCGCCGTTGGGAGAAGTAATAGTTGGTAGCTGGAGGTTTTGCCGGTGGAAGAAAACAATTCTCCATTGTCCTCCGTCGATTGTCCTCGTTCCGTGCCGCGACTTTGATTATTGTCTAGCTTCTCGCTACCTTCGGGCGATGCGATTCAATGAATAAAAGGTTAATCAATGTAATTAATTTGTAAGCTATTTTTCTTTTATTTTTTTTTTTTTTAATCTATTGCTTTCCATTTGATGAGAATTCGCGCTTAATTTATTTCATTTTATTTCTGCAATTGATTTTACACACAATTTTTCTGTTTTTCTTTTTATCTTTGTAATAAGAAACCCATGTGATTATCGTACACGCTTGCCTATTCGCGAGACGATTCGAACATTTTCCTTGAAGCGCAAATTGTGCGGAAGGAACACGATTCAATGGCTGTCGTTCCTTGGAAAGCCTCCAAGCATGCATAATATATTATTTTCCGTCATAGGCGCCCGATCGGAGACACCAAAAATTCGCCGTTAAGGCGAATAACTGTCATACTTTGCTATCAATTTTATTATATTTATTACATAGTTATCGATTGATCGATGACATATTCAAACGTTGTTCTGCATAAATTTTTAATAATTTATAAAAAAAGTTGTATTGATAAGATACTAAGCAAGTTATGACTATTATTTGTTTTTGATTTAAAGTCAGAAACTCTCTTCTCAATTCTTGAGAAGTTTAAAACGTAGAATTAAAAATTCCATCAAAATTTTCAGATATCAAAAGTTACGTGTAATTAATCTCTTTTTCTGTTCTCGTTTACACCGGTTTTTTTATGCTCTCATAAATATTCAACAGATGCATCGTACAACAATTCATTATTTTTCCAGAGCGTGGAAGATTTATGGTATTTTTCATTATCGCGATACGCGGCGAAAATTATTCGAAAATTATTCTTTACCGTGTTTCACGACGCCAACATTTTTGCGACTGTACAATCGCGGGCGCGTTCGTGATTATCGCAGGTTTATAAATTACCTTGGCAAGAAAGAGAAGTTATTAGCAACGCGTAAATTGCCGATAGCGCGCCCGAGTACGCTGTAATTAAAAATATTTAGCGCGCAGACCCAATGCTTAATCAAAGGACTTTTCCTCTCTTCGTGTTACACAGCGAAATACGAGTTCCAGTTGAAATCATTCGATACTAATGGCTCGAACCAATTGATTAGCTCGGTGCTTAATTGACCGGAAATTTTTCGAATTTTTACATTTAATTTCTCTTTTATTCTATTTTATATTCTTGATAACAGTTTTATATATTTTTTTGTTTTATATTTAGTTTCATGTTTTGATAGAAGCAATCTATATTTCTGCAGATATCGTTAAAAGGCCGGAAACTATTTTCAAATATTCTATTCGCTCGCAGCAAGAACTAGTATATAAGTGATAAAAGGGACAGCATTTTTAGAGAATGTGAAAACAAAAAGTAGGAACGTTTGAAAATGCTTGTTATCAAAATGCTCGCTTCTGTTATCAAATATGCCGCGCTGCTGCTTTAGTTTGATTTCGCGTGTACGCAAACGTACATATTAACGGCTAACATTCTCGCTTGGTTTTCATTTTGCCGACAAGAGCAATATTTCTCTGAGCGTTAATTAATGCCTCTCGGTAGAGCACTGAGCGAACTACGTTGATGCAACCGCATACCCGACGTGGTTCGTTTTTGCGCTTGCTCGTTAATTGTAAAAAGTTACTTTAAAAATATGTTACACTGCGATATATCTATAGCAATGTTATACCGTGTAATGAAAGCGAAAAACATTCTCAGAGGGAAAATTAATTGTACAGAGTAAACATCATCCTTTTTTTTTATCTGGAAATCAGGCACGTAGATTTTTTTAAACGCGCAAGTTAACTTTGTTAATTAACATGTATTTTGGAAGCAAATTTTTTTCTAAGCTTTGAAATATTCGTGATATTTACGAGCTGTGCTTGATAAATAAAATCAGACGAAGATGAGACAACGAGTACGATATGCGCAGGTATGACGACAGCGCAAATCGAAGCGGAGAACACCCAGATGACGAATGATCTGTACAGATTATTGAAAAAATATACTGGTCTCAGGAACCTCATCAAAGAGTTGAAGGTATGTGTTCACTAAGATTCCAACTTTATATATTTATTTCATTCTTTGAAGGAGGACGCATTTACTTTACTCACTAATACAAATTTGCGTAATGCAATCTAGAAACATATTTTAATTTTAACTGGAAGTTATTAAACATTCCTCTCTGTTGTATTTTATTACCTTTAACTACCTTTTATCTAAATAGCAAAGAATCTTAGTTGGATTAAACTTTCCCGAAATATCTACGATAAATTAATGCCAAGAAATTTAATATTGTTTTTATATTATACAGCAACTTTATGAATTAATATTAATTAAAAAGCACAGTATATATTTGTTAGTATATATTTCTCATATTTGAATGTATTTTTAATAGATATTTTTCATATTTTAATATATTTTTTTTTAATAACCAGAAGAATATTCTTCGATCAAAGTGGATTTCTTTCAGACACATTGCATGAGTTATATTGCTTGTCGACTTCGCGATTATGGTCGTACGAAGGTGACGTTACTCGGTGGTGGCGAAACGTAACACTACGGCTATCATATTAGGACATTGTTACGATCGTTCTTTTTTCTCTTTTATGTTCCAATAAATTGCATACCGCTGCTATTATAAGGCTTTCCCACTGGCGGTGCGACGGTTATCGTCTACCCGTTTCACGCTTTTCCACCATATATAGTGTCAAATAAATTGGAGATTAAAGGCAACCGAGGGTACTGTAATGTCACGGCAAAACCCCTTTCGCCGCCCTTTGATCTTCCCGCAAACACGCGCTCTGAAATTGTCGCGAATGATTCAAAACCATCTCGAAATTCAAGAACCGATTAAATATATTTCGCGACACTTTCTGTAAATTATCGTCGCTCAGAATTACTCTTTCGATTATTGTCCACGTTTTATTGCGGATTGAAGATGGATATTTTTTTTTCCTTCATAAAATATACAATCGAAATCGTAAGATAAGAAATTTGTGAAGCAAAATATCGGATTGCAAGGAAGTTCTGTCACAATAGAAAAACAAGCTTGCACGTACATTCTCCATTCATAAACAATCGACATGATTGAAAAGGCGTTGTCTTCTATTGCAGGAGGAGTACAACAGTTCGAAGGTGTATCCGATGTTTCCGCGTTACACGATACTGAAGGACATGATTAAGGACATAATGCACAACCCGGACTACATGGAGGTCTGTCACGAGGTGGATCAAGCATAGCGGCCTGACCCCCTCCACCGTTCGCCACGTATGACCCTGTAAATCTCACGGGGTCAACGCGTGGTCGTCGGTGAAGGGGGTGAACTACAGAACGCTTCAGCTTCGACTGATGATTTCATTTCGGACAGCGATCCTTGTGATTTTTTTCTTTTTCGTCCTATGCTATCCGGGAGCTCCCCGTCTCTTTGCCCGCACTCTTCCACACAAACCAATGCTCGTCATTCTCATCCGAATCCCGGAGCAACTTTGGCGCAACAAGTTGCGTTGGCGTGTTAATGCTTGCGAATTGTGTACACATTCCCGCAGGTAAGTTAAATCCAGTCTCCTTTGCGCGCGTTTTGTAAAGTTTTGGCGAAATGGGGTTTTCGGAGAAATGTTGAAGGATTGAATTTCGCGGAAAAGCACGTCATCGAGTATCATGGAGTAGCGACAGGCGCCTCGACGTGTCGCAACGGCGCCACAACGTAATGAAGATGGAATAGTCCGTCGGTGAAAACAAGGTAGGTCGGGTGAGGGTTGTTTTTATATTCGTGAGAATCTTGCTGCTTGCTTGAAAGAACGGCGATTCTGTGGCGCTCGCTTTATTACATAAATCCGGTATTTTGCAAACTTCCAATTTGTCACTTTGTGAAAGCGGAGATGCGAGTCGCTAAGTGAGCCCAAGTAGCAGGATTCGCATGATTCCAGCGTAAAAGTTGAGAGATCATTTTATAGTTTCTGATTTCGCGCGTCGAAATAGTCGCTTGCGTAACAAAAGAGGCTAGCCGCGTCATTATTAGTAGCAAGTGTCGTGTGTGTGTATACGTGGTATACCAATTGAAGACAATTCGTGAAATCCACAGTCAAGTGAATTCCTACACCTGCAAGCGTGTGTTTGTACATAGATGTAAACTCGTATGCGTGAGAGTAGCGTAAGATTGTAAAAGTGATGTCAATGTGGAACACACTATTACCTGCTTTCTGCTGTATAGAACTCTCGTAATAAAGGACATCATCGTCGCGACCGAATTCTCGCTTTACCTACAAACAGGACAAAAATTAGGCGATTCGGGATGTTCGAGTAACCCTCTGCGGAAAGATAAAGTTGCATTTATAAGGCATTTGAGAAACGTTAATTAATGATTTAACGCTTGAAGGAACTCGAAGATTTATATAGTTAATTTTAAATATGAAGATATATTTATTAGATCATATTTAATGTGTAAATTATTGGAGTATTTGTAACCTCCTCGCGCTTTCCTACAAACAGAACAAAGATTAATGAATTCGAGTAATATATATTGAAAAAAAGAATGTGTTTATTGCGTGAATATTAATTAATTATTTAAGGCCTGAAAATTTACAACTCTAAATGGAAATTTTATTGAAATATTTGAATAATATTTCGTACATAATATTGAAATATTTGAAATGCTAAATTATTTTTAACTTAATTTAAAAAAAACATTATAAAATGCGAAATTGTATCTCGAGATTGAAACGAGTCTGAAATCTGTGAGTTAAATATAGATCAAGATTTAAAATAGGGCCTGCAGATTTGGATTTGATTAATTTCAGTTTTGAATTCGGGAGTGAAATATGGATTCATAGCTAAAGTGAATCTTTTTGCAATTTTAGCTGTAAATCGACGATTCGAAGAATATTTCTCCGACTTTTCAGCCGATTTCAATTAAATAGTTTTTTATGTAATTTTTATTTTTGGCAATCACATTTTTATCGTAACATGGTACATTTTTAACATATCACATTTTTATCAACCACACTTTTACATAATTAGCAATACGCACAATGGTGCTGAATATTAATGAACAATTCTCTCCGTATGTACAAAGCATAAATATTAATGATTCCCCATTTAAAATACACGCAATGCCTCCATTATGAATCACGAGATAAGCTAAGATATTTGCACACTTGTCGAGTATGAATCAACGTTTCTTTCGTGCGAGAAGCAAAAAGGCAAAAATGTCACGTACATACATTCTTACTTTTGCAGTGCATCATTACATTCATACGCGATAGGATAAAATAATCACGCTATGTATTTAATACTAAATGCGCTTTTCAGAAGTGGATCACATTGAGAAAATCGATCAATATGTTAAAATGTTATTAATTGACGTTATCTACATAAAAACTCACCGTTAAACAGTCGCATTTAGCTAAATATGCAGTGAGAATTCGTATGCTGAACAATAACGATCGTGAATACATATTTGCCCGTATATATTAAGTAACAAAGCTGAATATTTTGGGATGAGAGCGTTGATTAAATATTAATTTGGCATAATGAACATATCATCAACATCATATTTACTGCACAGGGTGTTCCAGACCAACCGTATTATTATCCGTTAATAGTAGATTTCTGAGATCATGTGAAGACAAAAATCTTTATACTAAAATGTCAAGGCTACAGTAATTTTTAAATGCAAAATGTTTAAAGTTGATTAATCAGATTGTCCAGAATTCACGCGCTCACGCACGTTGCATATTGATTCTTATATATAAAGATATAGAAATTAATATGCGACGTGCTTGAGCGCGTGAATTTTTTTGACAATCTGATTAATCAGCTTTAAACACTTTGCATTTACAAATTATTGTAGCCTTGATATTTTGAATAAAGATTTTTGTCTCCGAATGAATCTGCTATTAACAAATAATACAATTGGTTTGAGACACTCTGTATATACTCCGATGAGAAAACTTTTCGAGAAATTATGCGTAAAATACTTGATTCAAAAAAATGTCAAGAATATTCGAAAACCTATTCGCATTTTAATTATATCTGTAAAACTTTCCAAATATTTAAAAATTACTAAAGTTGTCCGCAGATTATTGACGCAACTGTTAATTGAATAAAAAATCTATTCAGTCCATTGATGTTGTATTAAAAATTGCAAGATACCGCGTCCGAACGACAAAACTTTCGCAAATCTTTCTCGAGGGACTTTCACTCGGAGTATTTGCATTCGCGCGTACATGCATATTCATGTGCATAATGTGCTGTTCGATACTGACAAACGCAGGGGATGTTATCGGATCAGCTGTCCGATAAAAGCGACATATAAAATGTGCCATGTTCTCCAAGTGCTATACCTCATATAAGTATTTACGTAAAAAAAAGAAGCTGTATAAACGCACGTTACACGGTCGCATGTAATGCAAAATACACGTAATGCAGTTGGCACTCGCGTGAATTTAGCGCCAGAAATTAATTCGAGGTGCAAACGTAATAAAGAGGGTCCTCTAGGTTTCTGTTGTCGTCGTATCATTAAGATCTAAGCGCGTATAACGGTATATACTATATTAAAGTACATATAAAAAAGAAAAATGGCTGACAAAACGAAATCAAAATATGAAAAGTAATGCGCGGCAGACATTGGGACGACGAATGCAGGCTCCGTTCCTCGCATCGCGGGCCCTTTTCAATGTTTGCCGATGGTTAGTGTCCCTCTTCTCCCCCTCCCCGCAACACTGTGTTTACTCTTTCGAACCGTTCTAGCACTGTATAATCAAAACGAGTGTAATTCATCAAAATGTCTAATCAAAACCTGAATAGTATCTCCTCGATCATCATTCCTCGAAGCTGGATACAGGCGAGAAAAGTGCAATAAATTTCGAAATCAAGACAGCGCTTTTTATCCGCTGAATTTTAATTAAACATCAAAATTGAAAATCAAAATCTTTATTGAGAAGGAATATTTTTAGAAAATGCTTTCTTCTTTTTTGAAAAAATAATCACACGGAAAGTAGCATCCTTAATCATATGTTCACGAAACATCATGATGGATGGATAATAGCTCTTCCATCATTATATTGTTGATGAAATCACAATAACATTAAATTTTTTTAATTAAGTGAAAGCGACGATAATTCATAATTTACAATGTACCGCAAATAATTATTTCACATGTTATTACGTAGCTTTGAACGTTAATTAAAAATTAGCGTATACGGCAATAACGTTGCCCGAAAAAGATCAAAGGAAATCATCAAAATATATGAAATTAATTAAACGAAAATTTACCAGTAGTCTGTCTGCATCCAGCACGTTCATAAAATCTTCTTTCTTCGAATTGACTGTTTAGAATAGAGCTTTCAATGTATGTATTTACCTTTCACTATATTCTATGTACATAAGAAGGGCATTCAGGCATATTATTGCAGAAGGTATTCAATAATTTTTCATGTTTTTTATAATTTAATGGATTCTTGAAATATTTTATAATATGAAAAATATTGATTATCGATTTCGCCATCATTCTTTGACATTGTGGAATAGCAAAACGCATATCTTAAAAGATTTATTTTCCTGAAAAATTTGCATGATAAAAGTTTGCAGGGTATTTCTAATAAAATATAAAAGCGTTTTTTTAAGCAAGAGTGAAAACTCTTTATATATTTTTCAAACAAAAATATTTTCAATGGACTGCTTTTTCTGAACTTCTCAGAAAAATTTTCGAAGAAATTAGCGTTATTTTAAGAAAGAAAAGCTTTGATATTCCATGTAATTGATATATATTTTCCGGCACTTTGAAATCTCTAAAATATTCATGTTACATGAAAACTTTTGTATCCATTTATCCGTTTTACGATGCAACTTATCTAAAGATATTTGTAGTCTTGTATATTCAAAACGTGAATAATATATATATATATGCGACCAAGATAAATAATCTATAGATCTATATATTAATCTATAGATGACAATGAATATTGTTTAAAGAATTCAAAATCTACGGGGGTCTAAATGTTAACAAATCCACATTATTTATACCGACGAATTATTTTGCGATAAACTAGCAAAATCTTTGTACTACAATAATTTTTGCTATAAATAATTTATTTTTTAATTAAATTTAACAATATTAAAGTTTTATTGTAAAAGAGATTTGTTGCAACTGAATTTTGTTACGTGTTGAATAATGAAATTTTTCTCATATACCGCGCGTAAAAATAATTGCTAAAAAATAATTAAATTTTTTTTTGTTTTTTTTTGTTTTAATAACACAAACGAAATTGTTGGTACATGGACCCTTCATGATCTTTAAATTTCTCTATATCTATATCAGTAATTGAACTGTGGTCGTTGTACTATTTAATGCTCGCTCTCATTGTAATGAGAATTACAATGCAACTCGCGATTATTACTGAGCGATTGACTCGCCTCAGGCAGCGCAGTTGATATTTTTTATGCAACCGGGAATTTTCTTAGACCAATTATCATATAACGTGTAAGATGAACCTATAAGATATAGCGTAACGCTAAAAACCGTATGTGTAGCGACGGAGTAAAGCTACTACTCGATATGCAATGTCTCTGAATTGAAGAATAATAGCAAGTGTGCTCGCCTTTTCGACGAAATTAGGAGAGTGCCAAATAGATTTTGAAAGTTTATACGTGTATGTGTGTGTGCGCGATTACAATTGCTCGTGTATGGGAATATGTGTATGTGTGCGCATATGCGTGTATGCGTTTCTGTCATGTTTTTTATAACATGCCGGCTATAACTTCGAGAACGGTATTCTCGTTCGCTGAATTGATCGATATTCAATTTCAACCGGACAATTGAATTAATTACTACGCTTCAATCATACATACACTAGGACAATTTGTAATGTTAAACAGTTCATTGTTTATTTATCCTTGATAACAAATATTTTATTAGTAATATTCTCGCAGTCGTAATTATTTTGTTAGGTTCCTTGGTTGATATTACATTGCATAAATATTTTGTCACAAATATGAAAATTATAGAAACGTATAGAATACCAAAGATAACTTATACATATATAATGGAAATTTAGAGATATATATTAAAGCTTGATAAAGGCGTAAATATTAAAAGAATAAATATATCCAATAAAGTATGATGCGATCTAGGGCTAAAAAGATCACTTCAGCGAAATATAGCCATTTATCATTTAAGTATAAAAATAACAAACGTATACAGATACGAGAGAGAGATCTACCGAATGTGTTTTAAAGAGTGTGTACATGGTAGATTTACATAATTGTATTAGTATTATAATGAGATATTTTCTTAATGGTTCTTCGATCTTTGCAAAATATATCTAGAAATATGTAAATGCAATTGGAGACACACACACACACACGCACACACTCTATTTGTTCACACACGTTTTATAAAAACTTTGCAAGAGTTATATAAACTATATATTAGTTTTTGTACGACTATTTATATTTTATTCTTTAATATGAATGAAATATATCTTTACATTTTAATTATTGAATTGTAACTTCATCATTTGACATAAAATTTCAATTTTAGCATCACAAAATCGAGAATATTATGCATTAATTGACTTTAAATTGCGTTAAGCAAAGTATTATATATATATATTCAATAATGTGTCGATTAAACAAAAATAAAATAACTATATCAAGATCAAAGGACCATTAACAGCTGAATACATATGGATAAGTGTACAATAACGTTAATCGCAAAGAATTCAATGGATTTCCGATGCGAGGAAATTCGATTTTCTCCCGATCTCGTCGTCGCTCTTAATTAAGTGTGTTTGCGAATTCACAGATGATATTCTCGACCAATCTATTTGTCTATAATCATCGCATTGTCTGTCTGTGTAATCACATACGCTCTCTCGCGCGGAACGCATGTTCATACGAAAAAAAAAAAAGATCTAACGTTTTAATCCTCTTTCTTCTACATGTCGGACACATATACATATAATCGCTTTCTATTAATGGTAAGTGCTTCGGTTGCATATCGATAAGTCGTATATATAGATGTAACATTTTTACGAAGAAATATATTTTGGCAAATTCTTCGTGGGCAGGTTCACACGGGAAAAAATTCTGGAGGAGACTGAGACTCCTTGAGATCGTTCAGTTTTACGCATAATTCTAATACAAGATGTTCTGTATCTACAAGACGAGAATTTTGCAAAAGTTAAAGCAATTGATAATTTATTTTGTGAGAAATTAAATTTTAATTTAAAGTTTTATAAAAAGGAGAAAGAAGGTAATCAAAGTGTAATTCTTTTCTTTTAATTTATTTTTTTTTTAATCTGTTTCTTATTTTGAAATATGGATACTTGATTTTATCGAGCCTATGAAATATCTACGGGCATTCTTTGATATATTTCTCTTGGTATTATTCACATTTATTTTAGTTATGAGAACAAGGCAACTCGGAGAGTTTGACATTGATGGCAGATCACCTTGTATAAGAATTACGGATTTATTAGTCATCTTGCGTATGCACTCATTGTTCGTTTCAGTCGATGAAATGAAATGACCCCTTTTACTTAGAGACTCGGTGTATAATACCAAGTGTATAGAAGTATCGTTAGTTCAGCTAGCTTTTGCGCACTTTGTAAAATGTGCGCTGTAATAAACGTCGTCGGCATCGTGAGCGTGCGATTCAACGAGGCGTATCGATGGAAAAACGTGTGAATTGTTTGAAGTTTACCAATCTTAAAATTAAAGCAAAAGGAAGAAGTTCCTTTTTACATATAGAAAACTACAAGTGAGAAAAGTAAATTCTATGATAGTATTGCATTTATTTTTGGTTGAATTATAATGATAATAGGTGTTAGTGCTAAATAATTTTTTCTTATTGATAACGATCTTCAACCAATTTATACATAATTATTATTATTGCCCATAAAGTTAAATACATCAATAATTTTGTCACACATAAATTGTTTGAAATTATCTGATGTTGTATGAAAATTGTCTTCGCGAATTATGTATTATTTATGATTGTCATATTTCATAAAATACTACTGATAATATTGAATCGTTAAAACGCGATTCCGTATGATTTATTACACGCGCGCGTTTCCGAGTCGATTGGATCTTTAATGAATTAGAGAGTAATTGTTGTTACAAGCATCCGCTTATCCTATTTCTATTGTTGATATCATTAATCGCTAATTGGCGTAGTATAATAGTCATGTGCAAGAAAACTAACATTGTTGTGAAGTTTATATGTTTCGTTACGATTGAATCGCGAGGACCGCATCGAATATTTCTATTTCTTCTGCATCAAATTGCACTTCTTTATCACTTTAAAATTTGTGCAGCTAAAATGAAGGGCATGGAAAATGTAAACATTAAAAAAACCTCTATTGTTTGTTTTTTTTTCGAAGTGTAAAACGTTTATATGTCCATTTATGAGCTTCATCATTCGTAACAGATTCTCTTGTTAAGTGCTTTCAAGTGCGTAGATGCGTAGATGCTCAAATCTATATTTATTAGCGGTGCGGCTCTCACGATTCGCCGACAGTAACGCCTTTATGTCTGAACAAGTGTTCAATAGTAATGATTAGAGTTAGAAGCTATGCTGATTAGATAGCGAGACGTAACAAGTGCTAGATGTCATAGAGCGTTACATTATAGTAATTCCACCGGTCCTTCCTTCTATTTATCGCATCTGTGAGTTCCCCGACGGAGGGATATAGTGAGTAGTAATATTGTATGTTATAGGCTAGTTACTGATTATATTAGATCCTAGTCAACTGATCAGTTTGACGAAAGTGTATGCCGCAATAATAACGCTCTGATTTCGTTCGATGTGTCTTTGTTACCGCGAAAGAGGCATTACTCGTTTACTGGCTGTTAAGCTTTGTTAATAAAATATTACGAAATTTTACATTGAACACTGACGTCTGAACTTTACTGATCATCCCTAAAATTTTAATAAAATGTTCTCTCTTCTTTTGCAATTAATTTTGACTAATTAAAATTATTGATATTGCAGGCTGCTAGATATTTTATTTTAGAAATATATATTATAATTTATGTGAAATATGTAAAATAAATATATCTTTTAAAATAAAGCCGAACAAAAATAAAATATAAAATTTAATAAAAAGTTAAAATAAAAAATTGATTTTACATTCTATTTATTTATGCTTTTTAAAATTTATCATTTATGAACTTGAATATTTTTATTTAAAAAGTTTGAAGTAAAATTGAAATAATTCTTTTTTATCCTATTCTGATAAGACAGGTATTGATAAAATGTGTTACCTCAGCTGCGCTAGTAAAAGTACAAACTTTCACCCAGTTAGCGACACCGTCGAATCTTGAGTTTGTAACAAGTAAGATGGCCGCCACCGACTCCAGTTTATCCAGTGAAACTCCCGCCAAGAAAGAAGATGAATTTAATGAATTTTACTCAGAGGTACGCATATTTTCATTAATCTTGGGATTTCTTTATACATGATGCCACAAAAAAAACAATATTCAATACTTTACTATTAAACAGTCACGTAAACAAATTCTGATTTGCTACTCTGACAAATTTCACTTTATACTCGAAATAAAATGGCAACAGATATTTTTTAGTGTCAATTTGTGTCTTTGATGTTCTAAATTAGCATATGTAATTATATTGAATTTTGTAAGCGATATTGTCACTAAATAGTGTTGATAAACACTCCTAACCTAGAAGTATGTTTGTATTGAAAATTCTCAGTGTGCAGAATGTCACATTCTATTATTGAATATTATTTCAATGAAATATATATTCTCCATTCAATTTTTAAAAAAAAAATTCTACCTATTTAGTTTACAAGTATAAGTTTCATATAGTCTGTGTAAGCAGGGTAAACATGATACTGCTGATAATGTTATTATTGTTTAACAGTATCTGTTTACAAAAACTGCTTACGTCAGCTGATAGTCCTAACTGAGTTTTTCTTGCATATTTCTAGTATGAAATTTACGTTCATTAATTTATCATTATTCCTTGTTAAATATTCTAAGAATAATTTTCTAGTATTTAAATTTGTCAAGAAAGATAAATAGAGTATATGTTTTTTACATTGAAATCATTGTTTCTTATATTGAAAGTTTTGTTATATTATTTTATTGCCCAGAAATTTATTAAATATGTATTTAGTTCAATTATATAAAAATTCTGTTGTGTCTTTCTATAGGTTAAGGAAATTGAAAAAAGAGATTCTGTGTTGACCCCTAAGCAACAAATTGAGAGACTATTGCGACCTGGCTCATCTTATTTCAATTTGAATCCCTTTGAAGTCCTACAAATTGATCCAAGTACAGCAATAGATGAAATAAAAAAGAAATATCGTCGTGTAAGTATCTATTTCTCTTTTGTTAAGAAAAAAATCAGTATTTTGACATTGTGATCTTTACAGATGTCTATTTTGGTGCATCCAGATAAAAATCAGGATGATGCCGAAAGAGCACAGCAAGCCTTCGAAAGTAAGTAAAATAATAAACATATGTATACTATAATGTAATAAATTAATTTTTTTTTAATTGTAATTTTTTAATTTAATTGCAGTTGTTAATAAAGCATGGAAAACTTTGGAAAATGAAGAAACCAGATCGAAATGCATGGATGTCATCGAAGAGGCAAAGGCTCGGACTGATCACATGGCAAGTAGTTAATTATTGATCTTGACATTTTTTCACCAAGTTTTTAACGTTATAGCATGCTTTATTAATTTGCATGAATTGCATTGAATTTTACAGATTGCAGAAAAAAAGAAGAAACTCAAAAAAGAGGGAAAATCTGAAAACTCAGGCCCAACACTCTTGGAAGAAGAAACAGAAGAAGGTTACAGACATGCAGTTTGGGTCATGACAATGAAGTTGTTCGCCGATATGGAACGAAGAAGGTTTATTAACAATCTTTAATATATTTTTTTTTAAATAAAAGAAAATTTAGATTAAATATTAATTTAATCTAAATTAATTACAATTTTCTCTAAATTAAATTATTAAATAATTAAATACTTGAATTAGTTTTATCCAGAACTGACATTTTTTCTTTTCTTTCAGACGAGAACTAGCCACAAGGGACGCAGAACAGCGCAAAAGAAAGCGTGAAGAAGAATTATCTGCAGAAGCTCAAGCGGCAATGGAGCGAGAATGGCAACGGAATTTTGAGGAGTCTAGACAATCGCGTGTTGACAGTTGGAAAGCGTTTCAATCGGGCAGCAGCGCAACGAAACAAAAAAAGGCAAAAAAGTTGAAGGCCTTCAGGCCGCCAAAGACGAAAGCCGAATCCCGATAATCATGGTCATCTCCTCATCCCATTTCCTTCACTTCCGGCGTGCAAACTGATTTTAGTCAACACAATATTTCATCTTAGAAATTTTCTCGCAACGTTAAGGTAGGTTAAACTTTCACGCAATGTCAATCTAATAATAGTTAATTTGAAAACTGATAAAAGGAAAACGATAGAGTTACTTCTCTCGATGCTACTCAGTTCGTAAGCTAAGCGGTTTTACTATCTACTATTGGATTAAACGCCGAGATTCGAGTTTCTAGAAATATCCTCTTATTAATGATCAATTTCACCAATCTTTTTACCAAGAACAACGACGATTACACTTTTGAAGTTTTCACATGCGTTTTCTTATTTTGAACAAATAAGAAATAAGATTAATGGAGAAGGGTTGTATTGAATGACTTATTTTATAAATTTTAGTTTAACATTGTTGATCATATTTGTTGAGGTGGTTAGTGAGAGTTTGGTGAAATCGGTCGCAAGTTTAATTTTTGCTTAAGTTCGCGATTCGAGACTCGCGTGACGATGTTAAAGGCAAACATTAATGTCTCTGCGAGTAGAATCGATGTTAAAAGCGTGATGAGAACAAAACGGAGCTGTAATACAAGCTATTGAGTGAACGAGAAATGACAGACTCTGATTGAATGTGATTTTGTGTGCATGGGCAAAGTCGTGCCGTTCATTTTGAAAATAACGCAAATTGCAAATTAAAATATTGAAACCATTTACACCTTAATTTTACTAAATTTAAATGTATTTAAATTTTATTCAAATTTATTATTTATTTTCAAAATGTATGGCTCGATTCTGAAAAACTTATGTGTGATCTCTTTGTAAAGATTGACAATTAGGGAATTTTTCGCGAATTTAGCGATCACGCAGCATCGATGACTCGCAAGTGTAAAAAAAAACAAGAAAGAACTTCTTTCGGAACATTGTACAATCGCAATACATACCCCAATGTCGTTGCGTAACAATTGTCAATTTTATAATCTACATGTATCTCGTACTTTTACTATTATACGTACGATTGTCCATCATAAGGAAAGTACAGGTGAGTGTATATTACTATTACGACAAATTCCGAATTAAGGATTTTTCACGATACCGTATTTCAGATGTGATAAACAGGATTGTATTAATTAATGTGTTCGAAATAGGAATTGCCATAAAATATATTCATTTTAACATTTACCGTGCAGCAATTTACACGGATATTATACGTGCAAAATATTAATAAAATTTTAATATAATTTACAATTCATAACTTTTGAATTTTGGATCAAAGTTATTGTATTGTAAATTTTAAAGTAAATTTTATTGTTAATTTTTATATATAAAAACGAGATTTTTATATATAAAAGAATAACATATTTTGTAAAATAATCCGATTTTAAACTGATTTCAAATTGAAGGATTTTTTTACAATGTCAATTGAACCTGAGCTCTGCCATTCAAAGTACGGTATCGCGATGGCTCTTTTATCATTTCGCGAACACTTTGATATGCAATATATGATCGCAAAGGTGATGTAAAAATCATCCGTTAAAACTTTGAAGTGTGAATATATACGTATAAATTGTTTCTATATAAAGACTGTTCCTTGCACGATTTCATATTGTGACTTCAAATATGGTCATCTATGATGTGTATATCACTACTCGAATGCATTAAAGAATCTTCTAAATCGTGATTGCAACAACAGCGCAAAACGTCCATTTAAATTATGCGAGAGAAAACGCATACGATTGTTCTTATTCCTCGCATCGAAATCTACAAGAAATACACACACGTACAGGATATTCTAAATTTCCTACACTTTCTTTCACCTATAAATTTTTTCATCAATTGATATTTTAGTTGATGTTTCAATCACACACAAAAATTCAAGTTCGAATTGATTAAGGAATCCGTGAATACAAAAATATGTATTGTGATATCCTAAAACTTCCTTTCTCAGCTATCATTCTTATTCACATTTCTAGGTATACATATAATGTGTGATTAGCCGACTACTAATTACTGATAACAACGCAGACATTTTCGTTATTTATATCTCACAAGTGCAATATAATATAAATCACACTCGATTATACGAAAGTATAAATATAAAAAAATATATATTTCATAATATAATTTTTCCAAAAACGCCAGTCATTTTTATACACAAAGTTAAAGTAGATCCGATGATGCGCGAAGAATATCTCGTGTTCGCATCGTGACGTCGATAGGAAGTAAATGGAATGTGGCGCGGGTATTTGCTACCCCAGGAAGCGCACCGCTATCAACATTCCGAGTCAGTATGACGCCGTACGTGACGACCGACGGCACGTACAATCACGAATACCGTCAATACTCCCATTTTCGGTAAAAAGCCGTGGCGCAAGTGATTTCATCTATCAGAATTGTCTCTGCAACACAATATATTGAATGGAGCGACAGAAAGCGGAAGTATACATAGACAGGTTACTCAGGGCTCTCCAGAGGGTGAAGGATCTTCGGGAAGGGGAGCGGTTAAGGATCATGTGAGTATATTTTAATAATAAAATTTACGATATGTAAAAAACGATGATCAAAAAATGCAAAAAAATTAAATAGGCTCTCTTCATTGTAACATGATTTGTATTTCGCTTGTATTTTTTCTCTTTTCACGACATTTCAGGAATGTTAATATTTAGAAATCAGGTTATGTTTAGAAATTTTGAACTAATGCGTGGAGCAAACGAAATTTTATCGATTTCTAACATTTAATGTCTTAATTTTGAACAAATATAAATGTAGATGTTACAATATTACATATATATTTATATTTGTCCAAAATTAAATTATCACTTTCGTGCACAAGCACATACTAAACAATGAAATAATTTAGCCACACGTTTCCGTTGACTAAACGGAAACAGAATTAGCAGCCGTTCGTTTACTGTTGCAAGAACACTCTGATACTCTGACCTTCGCTGTTGTGCCGACTGTACGGATTGTAAATATGTATTATATTTCGAAAATGAACTACGCTTTGAAGCATAGTAAATCGCGACGTTTTCTTAGCCATGAATGCGGCATTCCGTCGTTAAAAAAAATTGTTGATTTTTTTATTATCGTCATAATTATTGAATAATTTTATCAAAGCAAAAAGTGCACTAAAATTGTCTCGTCATCGCCAAGGTGACAGCATTGCTAAAAACAGAAAAAGATAATAAATATAAACCGAGATCTTTGCATTCATCTGCAATGAGATGCATATCACGTGACTGCTTTATTATTCACAGTCGGTGCCTGAATGGAATTTAAAAAGCAATCTTATGAATTCATATTTACGCGCCTATATATAATAATAATCCAATATTTTTATTATAAAAAATTGATAAATTAATCGAAGCTTTTAGCGACCAGTATCTAAACGATGCATTTCCATCTAATTTAATTATAAAATACTCATACTTTATTATGTATTTCACTCTTATATTAATTAGTGGATTGCCCCACAAGAGTTTATTGACGCATAGTGCTTAAAAGGCAGAATATTTCATTATAAAAGGCTTGTATTCAGGCCATGCATGCGTGCACACTTAGATAAATTTAAATATGATGGTTCTTAACACATGCAATAACGCACCTGAGCTATTAACTAAACGACACCACATCCCACGCGATGTGTTTGCAGTCTCGCGATAAATTCACGCGATTGTAGGTAGAGCGCAACAGGTAGCAACGCCGTCCGCGTCCTTTCGAATTTTCGCAGCTCTCTTAGGTAGGCGCAAAATGCATTTCCGTGTGAGAACCGCGAGAGAGAGGGGGAAAGAAATTGCAAAACCGCGAGATAGTACGCCGAGCGATCGAGGCTCGTGAAGAGCAATAGGAAGAAACCGAAAGTACCGAACGGCCGGCGATCACTTCCACTATTGCCGACGATACAGTGCGTGCAATAAATTTCGTATATGAAGATACGAAAATTATTTGAAACGCACGTGAATTTTTAAAAAGTATACAAAAATTACGAAACTATTTAAAACATAAATTAAGACAAATTTATGATAAAACAGGAATCAATAATTATAAGACGCAAATAATTTGCAAATATTTTAACGATTTTCTGATATTCTGACATTTTCGACAAGTAGTTGACAAATTTAATAAAGAATACGATTACGGTGTAAGCCTCTGCTGTCATACAAGAAATCGAACTTTCTGTTATTTGATAGCTCTGAACAGGCGGTTGAATGAGGAACAAAATATTACACAGAGAATTGTGGCAGAATGCCGATATTTTATACGAGTGAATCACGCAAGAGAAGTTACGGCAATTACATTGACCGCAAACTCGACGGAAAAACTCGCAACTGGATTATTTTCTGCGACATTGCTCGCGCTCTTTTCCCCGTTCTCTGGCAATTATTCAAATTATTCTATCTTTATACCGATGTGTTATAAAAAAGTGAACAATGTTCAATGATTAAGTGACGTCACACGCATTGCACTGACTTGCGATTGACAAGATCGTCGCTACTGATGTCCGAGAATATTGATCGTGAGTCACGTGTATTACATGAAACAAGACACATTTAAATCGCCATATTTTATGAAAACATTCTAACAGATGATGACGAATCGATATGATAAACTGTTTGAAATAATTAATTTAGCTTGACTTTTGACAGTGACAAAAAAAATAAAATAATCGTGTAAGATATTTTGATAAAAATTCTTCAATTACAAAATACACAATTATAAAATTTCGCCGAAAATTGAATGAATAATTTTCAATCACTTCTCGTCATTTAAATATTAATTTTGTTTTCATTTAATATTACTTGAAGTTCTTCAAATTTTTTCGGATGAGCAATTCCGTCATACATCACTGATCCGTCACGTTACCTAGTACGCTCACACACACTCATACACGCGACCTCTCGCCGATACTAAAGGCACACCTATGAAACAGGTAAAACGGCGCCACACAACGCAGATCAACACACACGAAGCCAAGAATTCCGCGGGAGGTGTGTACAGATAGGAGGAAGAGAACATGGCGCATCGGCGCACACGAATGCACACAATCAAGAGTCACATTATTATCTGCAGGTAGAAGGAAAAGAACAGACGGCGCCGTTACGCGCACAAATAAAGCACGATGTATGCGTGTTGCGTGCCACGCAGAAGGAAAAGACACGCCGTGGTGTTGCACACACGCGGACACGTACACATAGACGAAAAACACGCTACACCAGTTTATGCACACATATACACAAATCGACAGTCATGCTTTCGTATGCGTGCAGGTACGCAGATAGAAGGAAAAGAATACACACACACACACACACACACATTCGCGCGCACCTTGCTACAAACAGGTAAAATACGCCAAGAATATGACACTTATACAAATCAAGAATCGTGTATCTGTATGCGTGCGCAAAAGGAAAAGAATACGGCATCCACACACACACACACACACGCGCGCACGACAGGTAGAAAAAAAAAACTGTGTGTGCGTACATGTGTGTACAGGTAAACTGACGAGCGGCGTGGCGCGACACTCGTCTGGTCTGCTGCCTCAGTGAGGTGGTGTTCACCGCCGTGTGTGCAGCTCCTCGTGGTTTCGCCTTCGCCTCTTCTTCTTCCTCCTCCCGCTGCACCGCGACTCAGGGGGGGGCCAGGTAGACACGCGAGTACGGATACCGGGTCTGGAGTCGAAGAACGGGCCCCCGGATCGTTCCTTCGCTCTCTCATATCGGTAGCCTTGACGGGCGCCAGTCAGCCTGGGCATCAGGCGATTAACCCGGCCTGGCTTGACGAGCACACGTGTGTCAAACCGCAGAGTGAAGTGAGGAAGAGTCGGAGATTTGCGAATTTGTCGGGAGAAAAATCTCTTTCGATCGGCGAGAAGAATTTCTGCGGAGGAGTCTCTCTCTTATCCGAAGAGGAAGAGCGCGGCGGGATGTGTGATCGGTGATTCTAGTGTGTGGCAACGCGAGTGTGCCGACGATGTCGACGACAGACGTGGTCCGCATCGTGCAGCAGGGAGCTGCCGCCGATGAGGATCAGGGGTAATTTCTTTCCCTCTCTCTTTTTCTTTTTTTCAATTTATTTTGGCGAAGACGGAAAACTTGCGCGCGGTGAAGGGCCTTTCCCTCGGCTAGGAATAATCGATGAAATATGGTGCGTGTCGAGTGAAGGTTATTGAACGGAGGCTTGTTACAGTGAAAATTATAATCATTCTTTAAAGTTCATTGGTTTCAAGATAAAAAAATATTTGCAAAAAATATTAGTTAATTGGGATTAATTCGATTTTTATTGTACGATGTTCATCGACGATTTGAACAACGTCTCTCTGTAATGTTTTTTTTAATTGAAAAATTATTTTATGCCTAAAATAAGCTAAAAGATATTTAAAAACTGCCAGAAAAATTAGATTCTGTAGATGCTACAGTTTTAGAGTTGACTGGTTTTGATAACCGGTTTGATACTTCGTTATGGTGAAAAAGTTACGATAAAAAACCATAATTTCTTGTTTCTTTTCAATAATTAAGATAAAAGAAAATTAACAAACAATATTATAATGAAATTTATCATTAAGATAACATTCAATTAAGATTAAACAAATTAAGGCTGAAATTTTACTTTCGGCTCAACAAAAATATTACATATTTTAAACTTTAAAATCATTCTAAATTGATTTATACTCAAGGTATTTTAAATTAAATTTTCTGGAGCAGTCTAAAAAAATGTTTAAAAATACATATATTAAACAATCTTAAATTATGGTTTGGATATAGTTAGTTAGGAATCGTTTGTGTGTAAATATACTCGTTACGAGTGAGAATCGAAATTGGATGATGAATGTTTCTCATGCGTTTTTTTGATACAAATAAATAGTCGATCGAAGGATTGCTCGGAATTTTTGGCTCGTTGCTCGTCATTAGGATAACTATGAGAAGAAAATAGAGCGAAGGTGAAAATTTTATAGCAACTAAATAGGAAGCGTTTTATCGCATAAGCGTATTTATTTTGATTACGGCCATCAATGTTAATTGTCCTATCAATTGATAAGATTTTATATTATCTTTTTTGATTTCATGCATCAAATTTCTTAGGAGTCACGTATATGCGATATAAGTAATGCGTTATTCTTCAACATTTTGCTGACTCATAAAAAATGTTCACTAAGTCAAACTTAAAAAAAATGAATTTTTTGCATCAATAAACTAATGTTTTCTCTCATAAATTGTGCAAAATGCGAATAATTTCTAATTAATCTTTTTCTTGACTTTTAATAATTTTAAAGGTTTTAGAGAATTTTTAACATTTCTTTAGAATTATTTTATTTGAAATTATTTTATTTATAATTTTTTATAATTGCAAATTATTTTTTAGCCGCGAAAAAAGTGATCATATAAATTGAAATGTCCCAGTTTTGCACAAAGTTTAGTATTTTTTAAATCTACTTCGTCAGCTGAAATTAATTGAATCGAGTACGATTACGACTTCTGTTTATCCGCGATGCATACATCATCACGGCAAGTGCTTTATCAGCGTTATTTTCGTTATACTTTCTACTTGCTGCCCGCGACAGTAAAACTCGATGAACGCGACAGCGACTATCGAATACCGACGAATCGTCGTCGGGAATAAGACATTCGCGCGAAACCTGTTTCGGCGTTATCCGGGATTACTCTGCCATCTAAGCGAAGTATCCTGTTTGCTATGCTCTATTCGCTATAGCAGATTATAAATGTATTTATTCCTTTTCTTACACTTGTCTGGCCATACGCTTGCAAATATGCAAGCTATTGTTAGCTGCCACCAAATTACATCCGAAGTTCTCACACTAAAAGTAAAATTAGTATGTCGATTGTAAAAAGTACTGTTAGCATACGCGATCTTTATATAATTAGTCTGACAGTGAATTACAAGTAATTTCTTTCATACATGAATTAATTTTACGGGATTCAAGATAGAATTTGAGATAAAATTTATAATTTTATGTGCTGTGTAACACAGAGGAAAATATTTAAGAAATCAGAACACACATACAAAATATGTAAAATATATATCAATAATATGTAATTTGTATGTATATATTCCGATTCTTTAAATGCTTTTTATTACATAAAATGATAAATAAATTTCTCAAATTCTGTTGTGGTTTATAGATCGTCTAAAGTAGCTTAAAATATGAACATTTGATTTATTAAATTAAACTGATAATTATTAATTTTATGCACTTTCAATAATGGAAGAATGTAATTTCCAATTCTGTTTTCTAAACGATTAATAGTCTTGTAAGTTGATAAATCATTTTTGACTTCTTGAATATTTAAAATTAAACTACATAATTCTGATCCTGAATATTATGATCCATTATATTTAAGTACTTGCTATCAGGAGAAGGAGTTTAAAAGGATCGCATCATCATATATCATCTGCTGTTTTAATAAACTGATAATTATTAGAACAAATTGAGATCGTCGCACCTGACAAGTGAAAAAATCATTAATCGTTCGGAAAATAGAATCATAAATTATAGTTCTCTGTTATTAAAAGTATATGAAATTAATAATCTTTAGTATTAATAGTCTAATAATTTTTTATTGCGAGTATTGAAAATTATTCGATTATATTAATATTATAATTGGTTATTGGATTATTATATATTGTAGATGCCAATAAATTATTAAATCAGATAAATATAAAAAGAGCCACATAGCTCCCTCGAGCATTTCGCAGAGTTTCAACACCGGATAATTTTCCTCTTAAGCGATCCTCCGTGGCGGAACATGAGCGTGTAATTAGACACATTCTTGCATCTTCGGCGTATGGCCTAATGCCACTCCGCCATGTAATTTGCTAATATTGCAGTCGGTTGCACCTGCAATTTCAACCCTCGCGCACAGTTAACATATATATTTTATATTCTTTTATGAATTTTTAATTGTTTTAATATCGGACGTCGGTTATCCCGCGCCTCCGCTCCGAAGGCGGTTCGGGTCGCAATTTTTCGAATAAACTCTCAACTACCGAGAGCGTTTCCGTTCTCGATCACACAAGCGAAGATTCAAACAAGTGAAGAGAAACAGACTCTAAACTTGATTAGTATCTTCCGATTGATTCCAATTAGCATTGCTGCAAGCAGTCTTAACTATTTTTCTTCTTCTTCGAGTACTTCGCGTTAGACTTCCCTCGGCGAAATCACGAAAGAAGAGGAAAACTTCTTAACGGAAACTCTCGGCGCGCTCGTCACGTGACATTAATCGGCAGAATTAATTTTCCCTCGTGTCTCTTGACTTTTCGTCTCTGTTTTACAAGACGAAGAAGCTGAAAGCGCGCACCTCCGCGGCGGCGAAGAAATCGGAGAAGACCGCGAGACGGCGTATAAAGACACTGCGAGACCATATTAGTCACGTTTCTCGACGGCATCGCGTCGTCTCTCTCTCTCTTTCTCTCTCTCTTTCTTATTCTTTCCCCCTTTCCTCTCTTCCATCCTTCTCGCTCTATCGCCAATGTCAATGACTGCTCCCTTGAGGCTAGCTGTGACCCCCCGTGTGAACGTGTCTCGTCTTTCTGTGTCTCGCGAAGCCGCTCGGTCGGAATGGCGCTTTCACACGAAGGTGGAAAGAGCGCACAATGTGTGTACCCGCATAATATTCGACGGCGGCGTCGTTATATCACGCGTGTAACGCCAACTATATTAGGCTGCGAATATCCTGATCTGCGAGCACCGTTGACAGGTGTTCATTATGAGGCTGAGTGTACGGCGCCTTATAATTGGCGAATCCTTCCTCCCATAAACGAAAATTAACTTCTATCTCTCGCCTTTTATCTATCGTTAAGCTTATCACTATGCAAATGTGTGATATAAAGAGATAATTGGAAATGTAAAGGAAAAATTTGTTTTTTATTCTCTATTCACTTATTTCTCCCACTGAAAAATCAGTGAGAATAAAAAAATAAATAAATTCATTTTATCTTATCAAGAAGTAGAGCATCCGCTTTGGACACAAAGCGGATGTATTTTTATCGCACGGCAATTCGTTTGATAAGGGATTAAACGAGCTTGAAGATCCGATAATTGAGTGTCGGAACGCGGAAATCCGCGCGTGTCCGGTCGAATAGGCTCGCGGGTTACTTGGAGAACGTACCTTAAACCTTAAGGTTGAGTAACGGTTCTTCCGGAGCGCATGCATACCTACCTACCTGGTGTCTCTACGGGGGGATTGCCGTCGTCTCGCGATTTCTGAGTGCTGAGCCTCGCGAGCGGTGCAACGAAAACGTCCTGGCGAACGAGCGCGAACGAACGAACGAACGAACCTGTCCTGTCCCGCTTCTTCGCGAATGCAGCAGGGTCGACGTACCGAACGTGACGATATTTTGACGTGCTCCGTTGTGGCGACACATGATTCGCATTCGATTCGCAGCTGCTCGAAGTTGAATCGAATATCGCGACGGTGTACAGTAAATGCAATATAGAAAGACGGAAGGAATGTATTAATCGCGAAAATAAAGTCGCTTCTGAAGATTTTGTATTAGACTTTTGCAGAAGATATCGAAGCCACTCGATAAAGATATAAAAATCTTTCGTCTATATAGAATTTTATTTTGTTGATTGTCACGCTTGCATTGCAGCGGACATTTTACTATCTTTAGCGGAATATTTCAGGAAAAATTTGATTTAATAATTTTTTATTCAACAAATTAGGATCGTGTTTGAATTCGTATATCTAGGCAATAATTTTTGCCGATCCTGTACTTTTTCACTTACTTCTTTCTTCTGACCGCGACTCAAATTTCTTTATCTCATGCTGGGCTCTCGGTAAATGGAGAAACTATCCCTATAATTACACAGCTTCGCCCTTTAAAGTGCACAAAGCGAAATCACGACGTTCCGTCGACCGATGCAGAAGCTAGTAACATTTTTGTGACGTGTTCCTGGCAATTTAATTAACGTAATGACGGGAAAGTTATTGTTTCGTGAGAGACGAATGATACACCGCGACTGCGCGTCATTCTTGTTTGAGGATAATTATTTTTCTTCGTGCGCTCCACATTT